GTCAGTTATTTTTGTCTTCTTTTAATGAATAATCACAAGGACACAGCATATTGACAAATATTACCATTAGAGAATAATTAGACAAAAGCAAAGTTTTTGTTTTCCCTGGGAAAGGATATGTATTTTAGGAATGGAGTAGCTGAGATACAATGAGCTTAACACTCATATCTATACGGGGATGTTTGTGTTTTTCTAGTATTGGTCTGTGAGTCATCACACCCTAAATCTAGTAAAATGGTGAAATTCCTGGGTTATCTTGTTTTTTTTTTTTTCCTCTTCAACAGAGACATGAAAATTTCCTTGAATGCTGTATTCTCCAAGGTCAGCAATATGCAGTTTTCTTTCAGTGATCATGGAAGGAAAAACATTCCTGGCCTTTAAAAATATGTATTGTCTAATACTGGATCTGCAAAAGAAGCATAATGAAATCTGTGTGCACTACAAAAGTTGTTTTGCATTTGCTATTTAAAGACAAGCTAAGTCAATAATAACATTTTTTTTTTTAGATGCACAGGAATGCCTGTGAAATAGAAAACACTATACAAAACCAGCACTTACAGGAAGATGACTTCAATTTATACAGTGGTCACCAGCAGAGATAACATATGTAAAACTACCCTGCCTCATGCCTTTTAGTGTACATCCCTGTCCCAAAATGAATAAAAACTTTGTTTTTCTGTTCCTTGTTTATTCTGCTGAGAAAGAGCCTGGAGAGCTTCTGAAAAAGTTGTACAAACAAATAAAGCTCAGTAGTATTAATTCTAATTTAAAATAGAATTGCCAGTTCATCTGCTTACAAAGCCTCAGAGTAAGTTTTCCATGGATATATCATTTTTTGAGGGTACTTTTCAAATATGCTTGCAAGAGGAGAATGGTAAGCTTGTGTACTAATAATGTTCTTACTGACTGTTCACTTAAAAATTACGCACATCTGGTGTTCTGGTGATGTGAGCAAAACTCTACTAACACTTAGTACCAATAATAAATTACTTTCTTGAGCTGTCTGGTTGTTTCTCAGATATGAATTAAAGAAACAAGGTCTAACACTTTCCCCCAATTACTTTTGAGCTAGTAATTAATTCCATATGAGAAGAACTGTGTGGTGGATTGGGGTAAATAAAGTGCTAATAAAAACAACTCTAATTTCCTGGCCAGTCACAGTTTTCATTCCGTTATGCACCAGCGGTCATTCCAGAGGTCATTACCAGAACTGCAGCCATGTCCCCTGAGGCTTTGGTCCTGACACATCTTTCAAAAGAAGCAGGACAATGGATCTAGACAAGCAAATCAGTTACACAAAACAAAGTACAGCTTCATAAGGATCACAACCTGTGGGTCTTCTTGTAGATTAATGCCATGTTTTTTACTGTGTGCCGTGGAAAAAGACATGGATATGGCATTTCCAGTGAGGTAATAAATAATTCCTACAGTTTCTTATTTTGGGAATGTTTCTGACTAAATGCTGATCTTGATTAAAATGCAAGTCCTGCTGCATCCTACATTAAAATTATCTTAAACATTCTCATTGCCTTAATGAAGTGAAATCAAGCCTGTAGATTGGCACCTCAAAGGAAAATGTGGGCACTACAATAAAATGATGTGGGTGAACCAGTAGGTGTCAGATTGCTGAGTCCATAATGAATAATTATCTCAGCATAATTATGTGTGCTGTATTTCAAATAAGATGTAAAAACTGAGGTCCTTTTGTCTCCTGGTAATTAAAAACACATCTCTGATATGATTTCACAGTACAAAAGAGTCTCTCTGTTAGAGTACATGGTCTGCCAGTGGTATCCAAGGTTGGATAAGGAACTATTATACTGATAATTAGCATTGGCTATCCTGTATAATTTTTACTTCCAGCAACTCAGATACTCCTTTTTTTGTACTTTCAGTTTATGCACTTACTTTGTAGAATTAGATTGCATATCTTGATTTTATTCACAATGACCATACTTAAGTTCCTATGTAATATAAGAGTAGGAAATAAATGTGCCATCATCGGAATTTCTTAGTAAAGCAAGCTAACAAACTTGGTTTTCAAGAAGTATTGCAAATTTAAGCATACTATATTCTCTTGAAGAAACGCTAAATGGGAAATATATGTATTTTTTTTTTTCCATAGAAATGCTTCTGATCTATTTTATTACAAAAATGGACATCTCATTTTAAGATGGCTTTCAATTTCTGTAAGTTATGGTAGATTTTTGGAAATTGCTGCTTGGCTTAGCCTTAGAGATATTATGGGAAATTGGATGTAGAATGCTAATTTCTCCTGCCCTATCCAACTTCTTCATTGTATCCTCTCGGATTTGCTAGGTGCCAACACAATTATTTAGAGTGGAAGAGTAACAAGAGATCAAACATCAAAGAGGTATAACTGTTACCACTTTTATGCATCTACCCCAGAGAAAACAGTAAAATCTGGACTTCTGACCTGTGGCCCAGAGGCAAAATAGCCATTGTGCACAGAGGAAAGACACCTTTTGTGCAATTATTTAATAATCACAACAGTAATGGCTGATTGGCTCTACCCATAGTCTAGATCTGTGCTACCTCAAAGTGTGGATTTGAGATGAATATATATATTTCTTTGGTAAAACTGATGGAGAAAGGGATAGAAGATATGAAACCCCTAAATTTGATATCAGTTGCAGAGTCTGAAGTTTGAGACAGAATCTATCTGATCCCTATGCCTTCATCCTTGAGACAAGAACAAACAGGAGAGGATCCCTTTAATCATTCAACATCTGGAAGACTAGTTAAGAAGAATGGCTTGGCCATTAAAATGATAACTATGATTGAAATCCTAGAAAAAAAATGGCCTCATACTTAAATTCAGACAACAAAATCACACAAGACTCACAGCATGGTGCATTTGCTTTGTAACACTAATTAATGAGGTTGTTTAAGCAAAACAAATGATTTCTTTTGGCTGAAACTTGACTGATGGTAAATCCAATTTTGTGCTTATCAAGGCCTTCAAATCCATCCATAGCCCTGCCTTTGGTTAAATGTTTTGATTAAGAAGGAAACTTGAGGCACCTGAACATCCAACAAATGTTTTGAACTGTTTGGACATTGCCAAAATATGTATATTCAGGTTCTGATCCCACTACCATGGTGTAAATACTGAATAATGAAATAAGAAGTTATGACTTTATTATATTTCAGTGCATCTTCTCGGCTAGTAGAAGTGTTGAATCAGGTCTGGCAGCAGGTGCAGTTTGCAGTGAGCTGCTCCTGGGGCTCAGGTGTACCCTGCACTGATTGAGTTGCCAGACCTAGGCTTGCCATCAGACATCATTAAAATAAAGGGATGTGTCATGTGCTCAGAGAGCCATGGAATAAGGCAGTTCTCAAGCAGGAGGCAGAGGTGTTTTTTTCTCTTGAGTTTGCCAAGTGCATTTACACATGGAGTTCTTGGCCGCCACTTGTGCAGACTTCCCTCGGAAACATTTTCCATCTGTCATACTCACATGAAAAAGAAACCCTGGAGATTCCACCCCCATTTCTGAAACGGAGCCTCTCTGTGTCTCTCAGAGCTTTCAGAGAGTCCTTTATTAAAGAGATAAGGAGGGGAGCAAAAAAAAGGCAGACAAGTACTTTCAAACTAGGAGCTGCGGCCAGCTGGATCACAAATGCCTAGGATGGCAAGGAGAAAGAGATTCAGTTTCACCTTGACTCCTTGTTTCATCCACCAGCAATTCTCCCTTTATCTGCAGCACTCTAAGCTCCAGCAGCTGTTCCATCCTGGCCTACTAAGAATTAAGAGTCTCCTTATCTGTGGAGGACAGTCAGACAAAGTACAGCCAGAAATTCTTGATGCTGCCTTCTACTATACTTAGAATTGCATGTAAAATGCCAGCCACCTTCTTTATAAAAGTAGCAGAAAATTCTCTTTTAATATGTGCCCTAACAACATCTTATCTTTTAATACTATTACTGACACACTTTTACAGTAAAATGACTCAAAAAATAATCACTGAAAAAGTACTCTGGGAGTATCAGCCATCCTAAGCCTAATCAGTAATGACTCAGGGGAAATATATAGGCCTATTAAGTCCTCTTTCTTCTGAATAGTAATTATTTAATAAATAAACCTCTGTCTTACCCACAGTTTGTGATTTTCAGAAAATAAACTTTGTTACAAGACTTCACAATCTGTAGAAGACCTCCACAAAAAGAACTGAAAATTGGGGCATTAGATGGCAAGAAAGCCAATTGGTTTAGGGTTGTTTTTTGTTTTTGTTTTTTTTTGAACAAAGAGGGTCTTTCTTTAGTAGAATTTCCTTGATGGAAATCCTTACTTCACATGCCATGTGAAAAGAAGCTGTACATTCAGAAAAATTGAATAGAAAGTCCTATTTAAAATTTTGGCTGCTGTTCCTATCATTGATGAGGAAAGTCTGAAATTTCTATAGTATTTTAGTTATATTTTGGGGACGTTTAAAAGTATCATTCAGAATATTAGGAATAAATCTCTCTCTTATTTTTCTGAAGGTTTCTTTTGCTTCCCACATTCCATACAAGCCCCTGCCTTTAAGGCACTGAAAACAATGGGTAAGCACATTTTCCATGTGGGTGCTGGGGCTGCCACACATGAGCTGAGCTTCTCCAGCTCTCCTGTGTGACACTGCTTGGTGTGCCAGGCTGTGGAGGGGCTGACAAGGCTTCATGGTGACTCACTACAACAGGAGGCACGGTAAGCTGGTGCACTGACAAAAATGCAGGTTTATTGAGGGTAAAGAAAACAAGTTACTTAGGGAGAAATGATCCATAACCACTTGCTATTAAAGCCTTTAAGAATTACTCGCACAAGAAGAAAGGAAATGCATAAGAAATTTAACTTTCTGGTTTGTTCTCAGAACAAGAGTGAGTCAGGCCAAAATTATCTTGGGATCCAAAGCACACAAGAGCTGAATATACTCTTCAGTAAGCCTCTTGAAGGTGTTTGTATGGAACTGAATGCCATCATTGATTCATTCTATGCTGGGGAAAAAAAGGAGGGGGTGGGGTACAAGGAGGCATCCATGTAAAAATTTCATTTTGTTTGAGCAGACAGAAGATAGGATACGAACTGGAAAAATTCTTTCAAGAGCTTCCCCCTCATGTGTAAAAATGAATACATGTCTGATGATATCACTGTTAATAAAAAACATACAAGCATGTATATTTGCAAGTACTCTCAGCTTATCCAAACCACCCCTGTTTCAGTGCTCATCATGGTCTACTTCAGTGCATATCTTTTCAAGCATTTCTGTACAATTGTTGCTGCCCTCTGTTATCCAGCATCCGTGCTTCACCACAGAGGAGGCTGCAGTTCAGTTTTGGTTTGCAGGGACAAGGGAAAGAGCAGCACAAAATGGCAAAAAAACAAGATGAATCTTGCAGTGCCCTCTGATCTCCGCAGGCTGCTGCTTGCCAGCAGTAACCCTGAGCAGAGAGCAGATGTGCATGCACAGCTATATATTGCCAGTCTCTCTCTTCTCCCCTGCAGCCATCTTTGTCTTGCCAGCTGTCCTAGCACCACAGGAAGATATTTCTTGTTCCTGGGCCTGCGGAAAGGAGGGGATAAGTGAAGGAAGAAGAGGCTGCTGCCAGGTTGTGGGGGCAGAGCCATTCTGCCAGATGATTGCCCTGCTGAGCCCAACCCATCTCTGGGGAAGCCCTTGGCCACAGATGAATGTGGGCAATTAGATGGGATGTGTCATCCTGAATGCGCCTGATGGTCGAATTGCTATTGCGCTTGCCTATATACTGTAACACAGCAAATAATAGATTCCTGCTGATCTCTCAGAACTCTGGGCAGAGCAGGTTGAGATCTGAAATTCATCTATACGTACAAGCATTTAGATATGTGAAAGGTTGGTGCCATCTTGCTCTCGGTGCCAGAAAAATTTATTACGGTCACAGTGCTGTGGTTCATCATGTTTATATTCTAATATCCTGCTTTTAATGTCTAATAACATTCAGAAATGGTTTCCATCCAAAAGTAATTTTATTTGGAAAGTTTTAACAAATATGGCTCTGATTTCTTTTTTATTTCATTTTTATTTATTTTGAATTTGAGGAGGACAGGAAAATCAAATTGTTTTTAAGTAAAAAAAAAAATAAAATCAGTTCTATGCTTTAGTCATGGTCTGATGAGAAAAGGATTAGAGTCATAGAGTCAGACTAAATCCACCTGTTTTATGTGGGAGCATGCACAGAGAGAGGCACCAGCAGCCTTCCATCAGAGCAGCTCTGACCTCTGTACATTACAACTTCATTTGTATACATAAACTGAGTCAGGACAAAAAGTATATCTGCCAGGAAGAATAAAAGGTGTGAGGTCAGTATGAGAAAACAGAGGGGATGTGGGTGGAGAAAAAAAGCGTGATGTGCTGTAACTTGGAATGTTCTCTGAAAAAGATAGGAAGAGAGAACAGAAAGGTGAATTAATCATATATCTAATCCAAATGCATTACTATATTTTAGTTGTTTCTCATTCTTCTCACCATTTTTGGTAGTTAAGTTGCTTCTGGAAAGACCCTTGGTATCATTTCTCATTTTGCTTCTATCAGTGTCCTGTCAGCTCACGGCTAGTGCTTTTATGTGCCCTGACTAAACTCCTTGCAATGCTTCTCCATAGGCCACAGGGATGTTACTCAGGCAGGTATTTTCTTTAGATTGCCAGCATCACCTGCACTGACAAATCCATCATGGAGCAGAGAAAGGCATTTTGTTTAACTGCTCATTCTTTTGCATGGTGCTTCTTGGAATGTGAATGCTTATTTTTTATTTTTTCTTATAGAAAACAGGGCAGATAACAATCTATGATGCTTTACAGCCTTTAGCGAGCACGGAAGAGGCTGTGTGAGACATTTCAGTGCTTTTTGCTTTTTTTGTTGGTGCCATTTCCTGTTGGTGTGCTGGTTCCAACCCAGCACTGCAGATGCTGCTCAGCAATGTGACTGATCTCACCCTGCGCTGCGCAGTGCCTCCTGCTGCTGCTGACTCGACTTCAGTAATGGCTCATATTAAACTCCTTTTGCACATTTTCTCACTTGTATACATGGGTTCCCACTGGGTATGAGTGTTGTGTCATAGTTGGAGTGACATGATTTGTTTCTCAAACGTGTTTCTCTCTTCTCTTTCAGCTCCACGTGACCAGAGTCAGCCATGTGCTTTCTGCACTGACTTCTCTGACTTAACCTTTACTGACTCACTGTGGTCCGTGTGTCACATAAACCCTTCAGCTGCCACTCGCAACATCATATTTGGGGTGGGGAACCATGTTAATGACTTTGCCTTATTTTTGCACCCACAACCAACATATATTTTCTCTAGTTCCCTAGCAAATCACTTAGGCACTGTAATTAACTGGGAGCCTATGAAGAGCAGCACCTTTGTGAAATAGAATATTTCTGACAGTAAATGTATCTAATTGTGAAGATCTACATTGCATCTCTGTCTCTGATGCAGAGAGAAGAAAATTAAGTTTTTTCTGTCTTTAGAACTTGTTATTTCCAGAGGCTTAATGAGACATTTCTTTTTTCTTTTTTTCTTTTTCCTTTTATTTTTTTTTTTTTTTGCCAATATTTCACAGTTTCAGGATACAAAATAATTTTTTTTTTTTTTCCCTGAAAGGAAAAATAATGATCAAACAGCAGAAACTGGGACATATGGATACTCCAAATATTTGCAGTTGAGCACATGGGAAGAAAGAAGCAGCATCACCTAACAGACTTTTTGGATAACTTTTTATCTGTGTATCTCCAGAGTGCCTTTTGTCTCCGCTGCACACTTATACAGCCAGTTTTATGTCTTACTGCAAAAAGGAACTTGACCTTCTGAAATCCTGAAATGAAATGTAGGGCAAGAGGTAGCTGTACTGATTCTGACCTGGAGGCCACTGTAAATCAAGGGCTGAAGGCTCCACAGTACAGTTACCCTGAGCAGGCACAGACCCGTGCATACTGCTCTCAGTGTGGCTCTTAGACCAGCACTGTGCTGCACTAACTTGGTGGCTGGAGGGCAAACCCAGGTGGCTGCTTGTAATGGAGGAGCTGCAGGCAGCTTCCACACAGTGCCAGCGTTTACACCTCCTGCATGGCCTTGTGTTTATCTGATAGAGCTGCAAGAAGCTCTCATGAGAGCATTGATTCTGTCTAACAGTAAAAATGATGAATATGGCTGTTTTCTTCTAAGAAAAGACTAGGTCTTATGACTGAAAGGGTGGAATCTCTCCTATAGGCAGAGTTTGCACTGCATTACTGTGGATGGACTGGAGCCTGTTTCATGCTGCACCATCTGGAGTTCCCACCATCTAAACAGATGTCAGATCATTTATACTATTCTTTCCTTACAGTGTTAGCTGTAACATATTTTATCTGACACCTTAGGCAGTCTGAGTGCCTTTCTTACTGGGATCATAACAGACTGGCACCTCCTGGTGCAAGACATCAGTACAAGGCAGAATCACTGTACAGCCCTCTCTGCAGGAAGAGGACTTTTGATATGAGTGTTTATTGATGAGCCTAAAACATATCTCAATTTTAACAGATCCTGTTGTATCAAATCTAGAAGCAGCAAACTTAGGAGAGGTTACTACCTTAGGAAACCAGGAAAGAATTGACAAGCAGTTGAACAGAGAAGGTTGAAAACCCTGATGATCCGTACGGTTCCCTTCCAACTCTGGATATTCTATAGATTATAGGGAAAAAGATCAGGCTGGGTCGAAACACCTTTATATAGGATGAAAAGGAGATGTAGAAATTTAGTGTTCCTTCAAATACATGAACTATTATTGTCCAGTCTCAGAGTGACCCCTTTATTTGTGGTTTTACACGTCAAGAAAGAATTATTAATGATTAATAATAATGGTGGCTAACAGACTGAAAGAGACTCAGCTTTTTGCTAATTTTGATGACCAAAAATCAGAAAATAAATCCTTAGAAATATCAGATTACTTGAAGATCCTTTGGCAAGGAAATAGGAAGTTTTTGATGCACTCAAGACACCCTCAGTGTATCTTGGACTCCTGTGAAGAGCTCTGCATCTGAAGACACTAAGGACTAGAAACTTGCAATGCAGTTAGCTTCAGGACATGAAGTGAATTTTATTTACAGCAAATATTAGCATGGAGGGGTAAAGAGTGGAAAAAAATTGCCCCTATATTTTCTGATAATCATGAATGATGGGGGAAATTTAGCTTGAACAGAATCTGGTATCTGTGCACACTAAAGTGCTGGCGTGACTCATGGGATGAGTCCACCCCATCTGCTTACAACAGTTTGTAAAACTGAAGAAATTGACTGGCAAAGATCATCAAAGATTTGAAGATGACAAATTTGTATGAAACCAACCTATATGATAAAAGAACTGGAGATCTGGTTACAGAGGCTTTTGCCTATGTTTGATGGCTACATATACAGTGTCCTACAGCAGCCATCTTTAAGTCTCAGCTAGGATCTGCGCCTGAGGAACACCAAATTGGGCACTCATAGCTTAGCATGAAAAGCAAGATGTGCAGGTGAGAGATGTGAAAATCATCTGCAATATGGCCTGTCTCACCATTGAGAACAAGAAACAAACAGCTAGGAGGGTAGCTGCGCTGATAGAGGTATGACTCATGTGGTTCAGCACAGCTCAGGAATGATTATCAGTGATCTGACTAACAATTCGTCATAGGAAAGGATCAGAACTCTTTGCCAATGAGATTACACACAGCAGTAGTGGAGCATCTTCATTGTTAGACACTGGCTTGTGTTTCAAGAGGTAGAATATCCTGAGTTGGAAGGGACCCATAAGGATGACTTTTTGGATTCAATGTGGTGTTAAGATTCAATTTGGAGGTGTTAAGAATAGGATATCAATTTTTGCCTGATTTACCTCTGCAGAAAAGAATCATAGAATCACAAAATGGCCAGGGTTGGAAGAGATCTCAAGGATCATGAATCTCCAACTTCCCCCACACCACATGCAGGGCCACCAACTTCACATTTAATACTAGACCAGGCTGCCCAGAGCCCCATCCAATCTGGACTTGAACACCTTCAGGGATGGGGCATCCACAACCTCTCTGGGCAGGCTGTTCCAGCACCTCACCACTCTCATAGTAAAAAGCTTCCCCCTAAAATCCAACCCAAATCTTCCCTCCTTCAACTTAAAACCATTTCCCCTTGTCCTACTGTTATGTACTCTTTCAAAGAGTTGTCTCCCCTCCTGTTTATAGGCTCCCATTAGGTAGTCAAAGGCTGCAATGAGATCACCCCACAGCCTTCTTCTCTCCAGGCTGAACAAACCCAGCTCCCTCAGCCTGTCAAAAGAACACATGAAGAAGGAGCATAGAGCTCTATTAGGGAAAATGTCTGCCTCTGAGATCATTGGAACTGACTGAAAAGGGCTGCTCTTGGAAACACCAACTGGAGATCAGCCAGTGCTGACAGGAGGTGACAACTTCTCCATGTATGAGATGGAGAAGCCATACATGCATAAAAAAACCTGACAGAGTTACATTACAGAGTCATTATTGGCCTTCTGCCATCCTTTTTGTTTTATTTCACTGGATTATTTTAGGACACCAGGAACCTATGTTTCCCTCTAACTAGATCTCTGTAGCTTAGTGCCCTGGCTGTCCTAAAATTTCAGGAGGGGAGAACAGTTGGTGTATTCCTGACAGAAAGTCTGAACTGATGCTGAAAAGACAGTAACAATGGGAATATCCAGTACTCAGAATAGATGTGAAGAGAAAAGCAGAGGGAAAACCTTCCTACAATACTCTTTCTACTGTTTCTTTACCTATTTAGCTTATCTGTTATGGATCCAAAAGATTGTTGGTACAGAAAATTAGAGCCTGTTCTTTTGCAGTATGTAAATTCCCTAGAAATGAGGAGGGTCAGTAAAAAAAAAGATCTCAGTGGCTGGAGGAATATGGCAGAAAATTTAGAAATAATCTGGTAAATTCCACACATCCTAAATATTTTTGTTGCGTTGGTCACATAGAAATTTGTAGCAAAGAAAGAGATGCCACCTGAACCTCAATTAGTGCATATCTGCCCCATGGGTAGGCTAACTAAAGCAGGGACCTGTGACCACTGGTAATATAGATGCACATTTGAAAGGTGACTCTGAGGCTGCATTTAAGGCCTGAGAGTGTATACTATTTAAGAATATCATATAAAGGGATGGACATGCATATTACTAGGGGTTAAAGAGGTAAATACTTATCAAAGCTGTCTGGAAGGAAGGAGTTGCAAGGCTCAACACGGATAGTAGAAATAAGTATGAACATTTCAAAGTTCTGTGTGGTGGTTTTGTGCTGGCACACTGTCTTCTAAATTACAACCTGCCTGAATATGCTGGTGTTAGTACTTTTGTTATCACTTTAAACCAATCAATTCTTGTTCATGAGTATTAGAATATCCTTCAGGAAATAAGCTGCTTAATTTTCCTTCATTATACAGTGCCATATTTCACAAGGCTGCAAGACTGGGTATGTATGTAAGTTGCTCTGAAAGTAATGCCTTCTATTTATTTCCATGGAAGTGACAAGGTATATAAATAAAACCGTAAAACTATTTGGTAGAACAAATTCTCAGCCACAAAAAATTATTTTTCAACATTGTCATCACCACTAGCTGTGCATTTTCACCATCAGTGTACAAGAGCCTGCATACCATGATTGTAAAAGTCTGTATCAGTGGATGCACTGACCCGCTGTTGCTGTTGCTAATGCTGGAACACACCATCCACCACTTCACTGTGTTCACATCCCCTGTTTTGTCTCCATAAATGTCCAGCAAGCATTGACGAATGTCAATGGATGCAATTTTTTTCTGTATGAAGGAGTTTAATGACACATCTTTGCTTCATATGCGCTCTCATGCCAGATGCCAGTTTGTCAGACTGCTTCTCTGCTGCCATCTGTCACATGGCAAAAAAGTGTATCAGAATATTAGTGGAAGTTCAGCCTCTACTGCCATACCACCAACATCTACTTCTGATGTCATGGACCAACAGGGTATTATTTCTTTTTCATTCCTTTTCTTGAATCTTGAATCTTTCACAAGAGAAGTTCCTAGAAAACAGAAGAGTGCAGCATCTGGCTACAGCAGAGAGTTCAGAATGGTCAAAAATTCAGCTTTCTTTTTCAAAGGAGTTATAGTGGCTATCAGAACAAATAAAAATCCTGAAGAATCATGAAAGTGTGGTCACATTGTGCACAGAAACAGCAAGCTAGACAAAGCTTGCCTCGTGGTACCGGAGCCAGCAACAGCTTGAAGGTCTGTGAGATGAGTTCTGGAGATGGATGCCAGCAACAAGATTGCCTTCTGAAAATAAAAAAGGGGCATCAAAAAGGGCATAATATATTAGAAAACCGCCTGAAGTCTTAAGCATAATTGGGTTCATTTTGAGAATCTAACTAAGGTATTTTACTGAATTATTTCTTCTGCTATCGCTATGAGAAAAACAAGAAGAATGACTCAATGCTCCAGCATCTTATATGTGTCTTAGTCATTGTCAATCACAAAAAAGTTACAGTCTGGTTCTCATGTTGAATTGAAACACTTCCTGAGAGAATGGGCACACTTGATGCAATGCTGAGTCACTCTCAGCTGCTTACCATTATTAGGTATTCAGCATTGCTAAATTGATACAATTAATTCTCCTGAAGTCCCATAAAAGCGTCTTTATCCTCCTGAGAGTACTATTTCTTTTCATTTTATTAGGGTAGTCAGAGTGCTGCTAAAACAAAGAAGCCAGCTTTTTCTCTTGGTTTTATATTTGAGACTCAGAGGTTTTTTTTCCAGTCTCACTTTGGTTGGTTTATTTGTAAATCACTGCATCTTTCAGATTGTGAATCTGTAGAACATCATGCTCATAGATATAAAGTAAAGGGAAAAAAACTCACATCAGCCATCATCTCCTGAGAAATTCACAGAAAAATAATCACTGGAGAAGCTGACCTACATAAACCAGAGGGTCCCTTAAACAAAAACACAGTTGGAATACTTGCAGTGTTGAACCAAGGTAGATATTACTGTTAAAGACAGGGCACATCGAAATAGCCCAGGTTTTCTATTTAGCATTTTGCTTTTCCGTTCACTAGACCAAAAACAAGCATTCAGAATTTTCTATCTCCTATCCCCAGGTTGCACACAACTAATGTTTCTTTTTCTTTTCTTCTTTTTCTTTTTTTTTAATACACGCTCCTCGTAATTTTTGGATATGTATGGTTTAGAGACATAAAAGGACAGCTTGACAAAAGCTGTATCTGAAGATAACTCCTAACCCATCCCTCAAAAGAAAAGCACAGTCACTGTGGGTGTTCTCCCCAGCCAGGCAAACTGCATGAGTCTTGATGCTGGAGTTCAAGACACTGTGACTCCGTCTGATAACAGCAGAAAGCAAATTTCAGAAAGGAACACTGTGGCTGGCCTCTTAGATCTGCCCTAGCTTATCTCAGCTGCCAGTCTAATTTACTGGGAGAAACTGATTTCAGGGGAGGCAGACCCAAAATGGGGCTGGCCTTATTGGCTAAGTTATCAGATAGTGGGCATATGTGAGTAGCACAATGTGGGAATTGCAGCTGATGAAGGTCCACCTGAGGAGGTTTACTGAGGGAACGACTATTATATTTTGCACTTCCTGAACAACCTTTCCAGAAAGTACAACACTTTCTTTCAAACTTAAGAGGAACAACTTCCCTCCTCCCCTGAAAAAAACCAACTCCTATTTAACCATGGAAAACTACTGCACAATCTTTACCTACCATGGCAGAAAATCTGCACTCTCTCCTGGTGCATTTCACAGGAACAAACAAAAAGCAGGGCCCCGTATTTCAGAAGCTTCTAACAACAATAAATGCAGAGGTTTCCCAGATTTTATGTTCCCTAACAGAGAGCTTTCAAAATATTCCCAAAAGAGAAAGGAACATTACCTCTGTTAACTTCAAAAGCTTCTCTTCTCTTGAAATGTCACCTTCCCTTCCTCCCTCGGTTCATTCACTTTCTTCAGTTCACTTCCTTGACCTTCATTTCTGTATCTCAAGACCTGCGAATTTCCAATTCCAGGTTGACAGAAAGATTCAAGCTATGACACTATGACTGATAACAGGGAATCAAGTTTTTCTTATGGCTGACGTAGAATCTGTTTTTAAGAGTCACTGCCTGTGTAGAAGCTTGAGTCAATGCAGACAGAAGGCATCAGTTGTTCCAAGAAATGGGGTAATGTGTTTTGGAAACGGGATCCCAGAGGAGTGGTGGATTTCTCGTCTGTAGATTGCAACTGTCTGTTTAGAACAACAAAAAAGGAAACAGCATCACAGCACCAATCATTTTGACTGGGGCTTCTCCTCCACACCCTTTTTTATGTCTAATGCTGTGCCAAGATCACAGCCTAAATATTATCACAATCCTTGTTTATGTGGGACTTTCCCCGTGTGAGGTCACAGATTGCAAGGCCTTGATAACTTCTTGTGATTATGTTTGGAAGATAAACAGGACTGAGATCTGAATATAATCTGAAATGAAAAGAGCCTCAGAATCATCACTTTCCCAGTGTAAAATTCAGGTCATTTATTAGTGTTCTCTACTTATTTTATTAGAAAAAATGTATGTAGTTTAGAAAGTTTTTTTATAGCAAACTAGAAACCAGAAGCATTTTAATACTTTAATAGGAGATCTGCTTTCAGCATATAAAAGTTAAGTTAATTAAGCCATTGGAACATTCTAATCTTTTTCCACTTTAGAAATGGATTTAAAACTCAGTAAATATGAAACTGCAGTTCTCTTACATGAGGCCTGTAAACTTTTAGAGATATCTGTGCCTTAAATCTGATCTTTCACTTTCTTGTTCTCAGCTCTCTGTGGGACTTTTGGTCGTTTTCCCTCCTTAGGAAGGCTGCTGCTTTAGTAGCATATTGCAATAAATTTGTGAAATGGATATGCATGCAGTAGTGACTGAAGGGAGAATTTCAGCAGTTATGTATGTGGCCCATGTTTGCTTTAGGCAGAAGGGTTGAAAACCTCTCACAGAGCCACGGTTGTAGTAGATGTCCATATAAAATCTACATAAAAACCCAGCAAACCCCATTGTGATTCCAAGTTTCATTCAAGTTGGATCCTCAGCTAGTGGATCTTCATTTATGGAAAAAAAAAAAAACAACTTTAATATTCCTTGATTTATTTATTTTTTTAATTAATTAAAACAATTGCCATACAAACTTCTACTTTCCAGAACCTCATTTTATATATTAAATAACAATTGGGAGTTCAACTGTAACAATGTTCTTACATCTGAAACAAGCGCTTTATTATCACTGTATAGGAGGTAATATTTCCCTCGTTCCCTTACTAGAAGTTCTGCATACAAGAAGTATTAACTTGCATAATTAGAGACACCCTGAGAAAAAGGTCAGTAGATATTTTTGCCAGTACCACGTTAGGGGAAGACACTGTTGGTATTTTACTGCCAAAACTTCACATTAACAAAAGAAAAAAAAACAATTTTCACAACTAATTGCTAGACTGTTGAATGACTTTTTTCTGTATCTGTGTTGACACCCTGAGGGTAATCAAAGTGACTCACTTTATATCTGAAAGCCTAACGGGTTCTTATGAGACTTATATTCGTTTTCTGTCCATTTGTTGAAAGAAACAGAGAAAAAAAAAAAAAAAAAAGCAAAAGCAGGACATTTTAGATTGAGTACTACTTTGTTCTTTGCGTCCAGGTATAGATTTTTAAGGTTGGCTTGGAAAGCTAGTTGCATTTTTCTAGAATCAGACAAATGAGAGAGGAGGGTTACCAATTGTATTCCTCAACTATTACAGAAAATCTGGATTTGGTGTCATGCTCTGCCATGATCTCAAATCAGGATCCTAGAATGATTTTTTCAGAGAATTAAGGATCATCCAGACCGTTTGCTTTTACAAATGCAAATATCTTGATCTCATTTGTTCAAACATAAATACACAGTAAGGTACTCCTGATATATTCTACTCGCTTTTTATGTAAGCGCTGTAGATAGGCAGAACGAAATTACTTTGTGGACTGAGACTTTCTAGTAACTAGGAAAGAACGTGGGGTCCTATATGCTTTTATCATTTTGCCAAGTCTGCGTGAAGGACAGGCAGAATTGCAGGCTCTGAGCTAAATGTGGAACAGGAATTGTTCTCTATCTATTACCTCAAAAGGGGTAGAGGAGAATAGAGAGCAGCAGGATGAGGCCTTAGCCCGTTTTTCTTGGCTTCCTACAGAATGATAAATGTACTGCACTATTTCCATACAGAGCTTGTGCTCCCTCTCTACTAGACAGAAAGTGGAAATTCCTTCTGGAATGTCAAGGTGTCTGCTGCTCCACTGAAGGTCCATGCCTACAAGATGCAATTTAGCCCCCAGATTACCACTGAAAAGGAGCCTATTATATCAATATCTGAGTTGTGTAAGTTTTTTCTGCATGTATATGAATTGCATTTATATGCAGTAAATATAGCATACACATACCATTATATATTTATACCACTGTGGGTTGGATCTGCAAAAGGCCAGGATTTTCTTTTTACTATATTAGACATGTCAATCTGCAATGTGATACCTCTGAAGTTTCATTCTGTCAGTTATCTATAGGTGCCTATGCTTTTTCTTGCTGATTTCTTAGACACTGTGGGACCTCAGGGGCACTGCACGCACCAAGGCAATCTGACCTACCTGCAGCATGCAAGATGTAGTAGCCATTTTACAACCAATGAATTTGTCATTAGTGACTGAAGTAATTGTGAAGATCGTCCTTTTTCTCCCCTCCAATTTACCACACCGAGGGCTGCAATTTCTTATAATAACATTGCCACGCTGCTTTGGATAGCCAGATCTTCACTAGAGTGACCTGTGTGAAGGCTGTTAACAGGAACAATATGACTTGAGACCCATGTCATGCTCTCCAATTGTTTGCATGTGCACCTATACCCCTGGTTTACAATACTGCTACACTTTCAGCCTTTCCTCAGGCTCATGCATTCACCAGATCTGCAGTGCATTGCATCTTTTAGTTTTGCTTTTACTAAACAGAACCTAATAATCAGAATGAAATCAGTATGTCAAAATTCACCTAAAATTAAGAATGGTTCTCTTTTATCATGCTGAAATGTTTCAGTAAAACAATGCCTTTCTGGCATTTTTTGAAATCATCATCTAGAGGCATCACTAGCATGACATATCCTTTACTGTTGTGTCAGACCTGCAAGCTGTTGTATAAGTTAAAAGCCTTTTTGGCCCTTGATGCTTGGATATGTGATAGGGAGCTTTAACATGTCTTCATGAGAAAGGAAGACACTGTGGCACAGTTTTATTTTGTTTGCCCTCTTACACATTTCCAGAGTCTAACAAGTGAAAAGCCATGCAGTCTTCAGGCTGTTTCTTCTGCTCGTACATGGTCGCTTTTCAAGCTCAGTAAAATGACTTCAAGTATTTCTCAGCAATCAACACTCATTCCTAACACATCTGCTTGGATTTGACTTTAATGCTTCTTTGCTTAATGCGTGTTTAACAGTATTTCAGAGATTTAAGTGTCAGCTAGACTCATAATCTAGCACGCCTGCAGTATTGACTCAATAATCTGAAATTCCAGAAAAAGTCAACAGTGAAATAAAATTAATCTAGATGTATTTAGATATGATAAATACACTGTGATTAACTGTATCTGTCAGTATTGGTATGTCATTTTATGCATTAATTTTTCTGGTGGCCCTTTAAAAAAAATATCACATTGTAATGAAAGAAAATGTCTTGAGTAGTTAAAAGTGTTAATTTTACCACACTTAATAGATTTAAATCCACGCTTGAAGACTGAAACAATAGCCTAGAGAATATACTGTTACTGGAAGGTTAAGAAGAACATGCATCCTATAACATTATAAACATATGCATATTGCCAGAATATTAGAATGATGTGTTCATCTTTTTAATCTAAAAACTTTGATTTCTCTGGTGTTGGAAATTTCAGTAAATTCTAACAATGAAGAAACACATCAACATGAAAAACTGTACACACCCACTGCCACAATAGTTCTTGTCCAAAATGAGATACCCCTGTCTTTTTGAAGGTTATAATGAGTTCACAAGGCAAATGAATTACAGGAAGAACATGTCTTCTGAGACAACTTGTGCAACTTCAGTCTAAACCCTGGGCATAAAGTAGTTCTAATTCCAAAAGCACACCACACTTTGTGTTTTATAACAGTTCTGAGATAACATTTTCTGCTAATATGTATAATCTGAGAGGCTTATCTTGCAATTTTAGCTGTCTCAGAAGAGTTTATGGTCAATGAAATCAGCAATTTATAATCACTGGTGTGTTAATGTGGATCTCTGGGCCACTGATGGCACTTTGAACCATCCTACCTCTAGAGATAGCAAGCTGAGAGCAGGCAAATATGTATCTGTACATACAGAAGCATCTGGCGTTATGTGAAGGCCATAAAGGATTTGTAATTTTATCAGAGCTGTAACCTACTTCTCAAAAGGGTATAAGCATGTTGAATTGCTATTAGCTGTTGGGGCAGATGGAATTGCTGCAATTCAATGTACTGCAAGCCTTGATAACCATCTTATGGGTTCATGGGTTTTGTTTTTATGCAAGCTAATGAGCTTTCCCTCTCTAGTGCATTAAGACTTCCTTCCTTCCTTCCTTCCTTCCTTCCTTCCTTCCTTCCTTCCTTCCTTCCTTCCTTCCTTCCTTCCTTCCTTCCTTCCTTCCTTCCTTCCTTCCTTCCTTCCTTCCTTCCTTCCTTCCTTCCTTCCTTCCTTCCTTCCTTCCTTCCTTCCTTCCTTCCTTCCTTCCTTCCTTCCTTCCTTCCTTCCTTCCTTCCTTCTTTTTGTGTTCTTCCTAATTTCTTCCTTCCTAATTGTTTTTAACTTTAACAGATGTGCATCCTGTGTTTTGTATGATGACATGGTGAGTTCTTTGAATGCTTTGAATGGGTTGGCAAAGCAGGTGTGCTCTGCCTTACCAGTATATACTTCTAGAACATATATCTGGTTATTCACTCAATATCTATGAACACTTCTCCAGTGAAATTCTAGAGTCACGACCTGTGATCTTCCTTTTGGTTTTCTTTTCTCCACAGCCTTCAGATGAACTTGGACATTACAGAAAGAGCAAGAGGGATTATCCTAGAATAGCTTCTCTTAACTGTATTTGGGGGATTCATCTATCTTTTATTTCTTTTTCTCTTCCAGGAATATACATCTCTACTTGGAATATACATAATTAAAACATCAACATT